TAAATGTAAAACGTTTTGCAACATTCGGTGGTATTAAACATTTTGACAGTCACTTTCCTCTGATGGCAAATTGGCACAGGTTTCCAAAAACCTTTTCCCTTAAATAAAACAAAAACTTATCAAAGTATTTAAAAACGGGTTCTTATGCCCAGGGCATACAGTTATTGAACCGTCTGTCCGTAGGAGGTGAACCTAAAGCGGCAAGTTGGATTTTTCTTAAGTTCTAACTGTACAAATGGTTTACTTAACTATGGCTCCCATTTTTACCTAGTTATTGTCCTTTTCAGCACCTTGAAAATGAATTGTGGTTAACCTAAACCGGACAGATGAATATATCTGAAGTTCTATTTATACTAATGACTTCATAATTTCAATATTAACTTGTTATATAACTGTGTCATCCATTTTTACCTTCTTTACGCTTTTACAGATTGATTGATTCTATTGACAGAAGTCTTATATTTTGTAGGAATATTACATTAAGGTACTCACGAATTTTCGGATGGAGTTAGGGGTCGGTTGGGTCAATGACAACAGTGTTTAAAAATTTGTTTTGTTTTGTTTTTTATTTTGCTCATTTCTTCTCATACAGTCTTTATTGCTCTTACAGTCTTTATTGACAGATGTATTTCATATTTGGTAGGAAGATAACTTACATGGTATTCTTCCTTTTGATTGAGAAAGGGTCAGTGTGTCAAGGGTGCCAATTATAGATTTCTACACATTTGTTTATACAACCCATTTTTTTATTGTCGAAGGGAGGCATATAAAAATCACACCGTCCGCCTGTCCGTCTGTATGCCGGTCTGTATGTATGTTTGTGTGTCCCCACTTCATTCGTGTCCGGACTGTAACTTTGTCATATATAGAGGGATTTTGAAATAACTTGGCACAAATGTCTACAACATCAAGACAATGTGTCGCGTCAGAGACCCACGTCCCTACCTTAAACGTCAAGGTCACACTAACATTTTGAGGTTTCACATTATCACAATTAGAGTTAATAGGTACACGCATTCGTTTCCGGACAATAACTTTGTCATGCATAGAAGGATTTTACAATAACTAGGCATAAATGTCTACCACATCAAGACAATTTGTTGCGTTCAAGAATCACTTTCCTACCTCTAAGGTCAAGGTCACAGTAACATTTTCAAGTTTCACTTCATCACAGTAAGAGTTTATAGGTACACACATTTGTGTCCGGACTGTAACTTTGTCATGCATGGAAGACTTTAAGAATAACTTGGCATGAATGTCAACTACATCAAGACAATGGGTTGCGTTTAATAATCACGTCCGTACCTCAAAGGTCAAGGTCACATTTCCATTTTGAAGTTCACTTTATCACAATTAGAATTTATAGATACACACATTCGTGTCCGGACTGTAACTTTGTCATGCATGGAAGGATTTTTAATAACTTGGCACAAATGTGTACCACATCAAGATGATGTGTCGCGGCTAAGGCTCATGTCCTTCTGTCCGTCCGTCCCCACATACACAACAATCATGTCCACACTGTAAATTTGTTATTCATTGAGGAATTTTTAAATAACTTGGCACAAATGTCTACCTCATGACAACATTGTGTCGCGTCCAAGAACCACATCCCTTCTTTAAAGGTCAAGGTCATACTTATATTTTGAAGGCTCACGCCTTCACAATTAGAGGTTATAGGTTCCCACATTCGTGTACGGACTATAACTTTGTCATGCCATGAATAGTTTTAAGATAACTTATATTGAGATTTTTTTCCACTAAATTAAGGACTGTAGATTTCAATTTAATTGCCACATTGGAGTTTGCTTTAATTAAAGTAAAACACAATAATGTCTACCAACTTTTTCTGTTTCGTAAATCTATTGTTTATGTTACAGACAATATATAAACATTACATGTAATTTTCTTTCAACTGAACACTCAATCTTTAATTTCATTCTCATAATATAGGCAACAATGAACATGAAATAAGCATTAAATTCATGATACAAGCATTAAATTCATGATACATGAAAAACTTTTGTTAAAACTCCGACTTGTTCCGATGGAGATCTGTTTGGAACAGCCGAGGTTAGCCGGTCATCTTTTTTTCTTCGGTGCCGCATGACTTATATTGTGTTGGTTCGCCGTAAAGCCAACTAAAACAAATAGTAATCCACTGAACGTTTCCGTTTTATTACGAGGGAAATTTTAAGAAATGTCTGTGAGCGGTTGATCATCTTTGTTATATAGAATAGTACACTGAAAGTTAAAAGTAATTTTCAACACAAACAGTTAGATTGCCATAGTATTATATACTTCTGCCTAAAGTATACCTACCTATTTATACCTATACATTTATACTCGTGTGATAGATTATGGCAGGCTAATTAAATAATGTGTCAACCCATGTAACAGCTGACTTCAAATTCCTTTTTCCTATGGCAATGTAGGATTTTCAATTTAATACGATTGTTAAAAAAATAAAACGGAACGAAAGATGAGATGCCCATAGCGGGCAGTCGACATCAAGACAGTGTGAAATTTAATTCAGCATACGAATAACCGGTCACAGCTTAACATAAACAGTGTCTCTTTTAAAATTGTCATGGTTACTATCAGTGGTCAAAGGTAAACGCTTGTCTGGAGCTCACTGCTACATGCATTGATTGATTTAAAAAAGACTTTGCACATACATTCACCATTTTGAGCCAAGTTCAAACTTAAAGGTTATGTCAGATAAAAATCGAAAATGTGGTTGCCTTGAAAATGTCCAAATTTTGGTGAGAGAATAGTTATATTCTGCTTGATGACTTTATAATAATGTTTACCATCATGGGTGTTGTACATTACATGTATTCATTTACTATTCCGTAGGTTAAAATTCATGGTCACACGTACAAATCAAAGGAAAATACATGTCTGAGGCAATATTTCTAATGCATTGGGGGTTAAAAACTTTCAAAATGTGAGTTCGATATATCTGTTTGAAAGAATTTAATCATTATGGTTTTATTCGTACTTAACCGTAATCCTATTTCAAAAAGGTTTTTAAGTATTAAACAAGATAAGTATCTTCAGCAAACTTTGATCTCATTTATCATCAATAAAATATCTTATATCTGTTCCAAAGAGTATTTCTGTCCAAAGAATAAACATGCATGGTAAAAACAGAAGTCGTTTTGTCTTCAACCTTTGCCGACTTTAAAGGCACTATTTGTTGCAATATATTTGTTGGAGAGAACTTCAACACATAGATAACCCCGACACTTGATAAATATAATTGTTATAACTTTGTTTTTCAACCAAGTAAAATAGGAGCAGGATAGATTGTTATTTTTCTTTTGTAAATTTGTAAGCTTTTAAAGTTTTCAAATAACCTAAACATTTCGTATACAAAACCTGTTTCAAACCGTGATTTTTATTACTAAATTACAATAAGGTAGTTAGAATTGTATTGACCACAGGTCACTGACTTGGAAACTGTTTGATAATGTTTATTCAAGTAAGAATATTGGAACCACCCAACTAGAAAATGCCGAAAAGTTGAAACTAAAAATACCACAAGCACAACAATAATGTCGTGCTGAACGATCTTCAAGGATCGAAAATATAACATCATTGATTAAATGTACGGGGAGACTTTTTACAGCCGCCACACGGCACAAATAACACGGATGTGACCATAAAATAGATAAATACAGAATCCCTAAAGAATCCCTAAAACCTGTTTCAAACCGTTATTTTTATTACTAAATTACAATAAGGTAGTTAGAATTGTATTGACCACAGGTCACTGACTTGGGAAACCTGTTTGAATAATTGTTTAAATATCAACAAAGATAAAACATGTAAGATGTAATAAATTACTGATGCTGATTTTCCGGTCATTATTTACTTAACAATTTCTGTGTCGACTTTATCTGCTTTTTTGTGGTAAAATTACCATGATTTGTATACATCATTCAGGACTTTAAATAAGTACCAGTTTCCATTTTTATACATATTTTTGTACATGTAGTGTAATGTAAAGTCTTTTAACTGAAGTTTGTTAAGGTGGTTCGATATTCAAAATATGCAGGGAGATAATAAGGATATTGTAAAAAAATATGTGATTTAGTGTTGTAGTTATCTCTCCAAACAGTATAAATACCCATTTACCTGAATAGCAAATTTAAAACCTTATAAAACGAGCCTAACATGTTGTCACCAAATTTTAACAAAGTATGATAAAAGAACAATAATTGAGATTTACATAAACAGAATCATTTTTCTCTCAAAATTGATTAACATAACTTGATTAGTTGTACAAGTATCTTTGCTAAATTTCACCTTCAAATGTTCAAATGTTACCATTAAGCACATTATTGAATGTCAAATTTATAAAACAATTAAGCGCTATAATTTTTATCAAACTAAAAGGCCTGATACACGTATGTATGTCAGCAATATCTATTTTCTCAAAATCACAAAATATGATGTATCAATCCAATTAGCCTTTGATCTAAGCAGTACAATTTTATGCACTCATGCAAAACTTCCCTTTCGTTATATAAGTGTGTAAATACATTTTTGTATTTCCAACTTTTTCTTTCTTAGATGATGTTTTCTTGATTATTGACATAAAGACATTTATTTATTATTCAGTTAATACATGTTTATTTGTAGAAAGGAATAGTAATGCTCATTCACCGATTTAAAGAAATGGCAAAAGAATAACCACTTTTAACAGAGTGTGGCACATAAAAGAAAGTATTGCAGTAAACTTTATTTATATAAGAGTAAAATCACTTTGGTACATTGTTTGGTTTTACATTAAAAAAATATATAATACCGTGGCATCAACCTTTTTCCGAATACGCTTTCAGATACACATTCAAATAATTGTCAAATTGTCCATGAGTACTACATCATTTAGATCTAAACAAAGTTCTTGTATGCTTTACTGTACCTGCAAGATAGCTTCTAGTTTTGTTACAAGTCAATTCTAATTTATCAAATGTTAACAATATTTACAGGTGTTCTGTTCTTCTTCAAATTGGTTTTAATTTGCGTGGTTGAGAGCAGCTGTCCCCTTGACTGGTCATTGTCTGAGGTGATGAAATGTTTGAAAAATATTACGTACGGCGTAAATGGTACCAACATACTAGCAGGAACAGATACAACTACTATACGCAAGTTTTGTACGTAAGTACTGGTTTGTTATGGAAATTTAAATTGTTTATTTAACTTCCTTGTTAAAGTGAAGAAAAATAATTCGTGTTACCTAACATTTCAATAATAATAAATATAGCAAAACATTTGCGATCTTTTTTCACACTCTTTTTTTGATGAATATAACGATTTGTTTCGGAATACATTTTGTTTTTGTTAAATGAAAAAAAAAAGGAAAAGAATTGATGCAAAAATCGTATTTAGCTTCCTGTTAATAGATATGTTTAAATACGTAGAAATAATCAAATGAAGCATAGATCTTTTATGAAATGAATGATAAAAATACACTGCTTTTCTGATTTATTATATTAGAAGTTTAATATTGAAATACCTTTTGTCCTAATATATTATCCGAATCAGATCCTGTGCTTGGTTTTTAGGGACGGTACTTTAAACCATTCCGTTGAATGTTTAGATAATTTGTACTCTAATTGTGGACCTAGTGAATCCCTCGTGAAGATGGCAGTGCCAAAGCTATGGAGATCCTCTATAGATAAATTATGCAGTTCACTTTCGGGTAAGATTTTTTTATGTTAATAATCAGTGTACATTCATGTTTATTATTTGTTCAGAAATGATTTTTACATGTATTAAAAAATTATCATGATATATGAAAATACTCTTTCAGCAAAATTAATCCTTATTGCGTTTTAAAAATCAAACAGATGACCTGTTATTCCGCGTTTCATCAGCGGAATAAACGTCGCAAAATTTAGACCCAATCATTGATTGGATATTGTTCTTGTTAAATGTATATAATATTAGAATTGGGTTTTTTTTTTTGTCACAGACATCCACCGTCATTTAATTTTCTGTATAAACTGTTATAATAATGTTTGTCCCCCAGAAAGTCTGGAAAATGTCTATATTGTGTTTAGCATGTAAATTAATGAAAGTATAAATTGCATTGTCTTCTTTAATACAAATATTTTACTTATCCCTTTGATATTGATGCAAATAATTATGCAGATTTATTTACGTCAAATGTATATCTTGTTAGTCATTTAAGCAAACAGGATATACATTTGATTTAATTAAATCTGCAAATTTATTAAAAGTTGCACTTGTATGTACATGATAAACTATTAATCTTTTTAATCATACTTATTGTAACCATTCCCGTAGGAATAAGTTAGAACTAATTTTTCTACTTCATGCTCTTATTTAAAAATTGTCCAGTTTTATTCGGTTATATCTAAGATAAATGTTTTCAGAACATGCGGTATATAGTACATGTATTGTACATTTACGGCCAAAGATTAAAAGCTGCCTCATTCACAACGACAAGATATTCCAGGGAAGCATACGTCCTTCGGATACATGGAAAACACTTAAAATAAAGATTTGTGGGTAAGATCTGTTAAGGAATCAATATAGTCAAGTTTTATTAACATCTTATGTGTGCACGTATTACAGCTGATAACGTCAAATCTAATACGTTTCTAGTCAAAGTAATATATCATTTACACGTGAACAGAATAAACAAAACCATGTGCGTCCAGTCATAAGACAGAGATGAATTCTGCACCGTCATATTCTGTAACATGGACAAAATATATTACTGCATGTGTAAATACTTCTTAATTTCCGAGTACTGTTCGTGCATTGTTAGATCTTTTAATATTTTAATACCGTTAATACCGACATCATTATCAGAAATCACTTTGATGGTGACAAAATTACACAAAATATATTCAAGACAGATAGTTGTTAAATTATTATATTATACCCTTTTTCTGCTTATTGATTGCATTTCTGTATTCAACGTAAGACGTTCTAAAATATCGATAATGGAGAATAATCACATTTTAGCTAGGTTTTTCGGTGGGCGGGAGAGTGGGCGTAAGCAATTTTGTCTGTGCATAATTCCTACATTTTACAAGGGATTGTGTCCAAACATTCACAAAAGCTGTGTCATAAAGTGCCCTAATGCATTTTTGGGTTTTGTGATTAAATACTTTTTGACATAATTATGGCCTTTTGTTTTTCACCTTTATCTCCCTACATTCTCCAGGGATTTTGACCATAATTTCACAGCAGCTTAGTTATCAATCATCAAGTGCGTTCGCGCATACTTAAGCGGTTTAGTGATTTGAAAAATTGACCTACTAGTCCTGACCTTAGTAATTGACCTTATGGCCCTTTGTTTTTTCCATATATTTAATACATTATGTAATATCCTTTTAATCACACCAAACTTTCTTTGTTGATCTTGTTTATCATATTTTAATAAATATATTAAACGGAAATTATCTAGCTTGATACACATCTACCAGCTACCAGCTCATCTGCATGCTTTTGTGTAGTCAATATCAAGGTCACTGTCACGAAAATAGGAAATATGTTACCAGTCAATAACTAGAGTATAGAATGAGATAATTCAATTGAACTTTGTGTATAGCAACACTATGTAAAGACCTTGCTTTGGATTGTTTTGGGTCCCTATGGTCAAGTTCAAGGTCACTGTTACAAAAAATATGTTTACAGGTCGATAACAAGTGTTAAAATCAAACTTCAAGTAAGGCAAGCTTACATGAAGACTTCATTTGTGATGCAATTTATAGTATTCTTTCATTGTAGAGGAAACATGAAATATGTTATTTCACAGATTTTCGATGTATTGCGTAATGCAATAGCTGTTTTATTTGTATATTATCAAAGATCCCTAATGTATTTTACATTTGTATTTTGTTTACAGTTATTTTGAAGGAATGAGAATCTGCACGTCAAGACCAGTGATTGATGATTGTGATGATGGTGTTGGAAACACATTAAGTGATTTTATGTCTAGTATAGCTCCACACATGTGTTACACAGACGACAATTATATGAATGCAGGGAGCCAGACAGCTCCTAATACATATCTGTTTAATAGTACATGTTACAAACTTTTATCACTTTTATCATTTTGGTGGGCTTTTCATCAATTTTGATCAAAATGTTACACATTCAGGCTAAGATATATATTGTTCTGTATAAATATAACTTTGAAACGGCATTTAATGCATGTTTCTTTTTAAACAATTATGAAGGCTTTTTATGAGATTATTAGGTTATAAGTGACTGGATAAAAGAATCCAGTATGTTTACCACTTTGCTACTTCAGATCAGCGTATTAATTCGAAATTTAATTTAGAAAACACTGATTTATGCTAATAAATTACTACATCTTGCATATTAAACTCTTTATATAAGTGACAATATCGAACTTATTCAGAGCTTAAATTAGAATCTTTCAAAAGTAATATCCATGGAAGATGTGAGTAGGATGTTTTAATTGTTAATTTAGGGGAGTCTTTTAAGATTTCGATAACAATGCTTTTGTTACACAAATCCATCTTAGTTTGTGTCATTTTATTGTCAAATGAAAGCCTGAATTTGTAAGCCCAAGACTGTTTGCCAGCGTCTTTTTAACGATTTATTAATTGAAAGATTTATCTAAATAAAACGTGCACCGGTACAAAGGGTAGGTGACCGTCAATAAGACGGTAATAAAACAATATAACCTCTTTAAATAACTTTTCGCTGAATAATTAACCTTCTCATGTTGCATAAATGCGTATATAGCCTTCAAACACATGTTCGTCATTTAACACTCATCATTTCTGTCTATAGCACAGTTGATAAGTATGTCGAAAATATCAAAGATGCAATGTTGTTGCCTTTAGGTATTTGGTTGGAGTTGGTCTTGGACCTATATGGTTTTTTTTTTTTATTTTTTTATTACTATCTTAAACATAATTGATATACACTGTTTTCCTTTTTTACTATTTTTCTTCTTATTATTTTATTATTCTATATATTTTCTCGAAATATAATATTTACTTTGATATACATGTATTACCTCAATAAAAAATATTTCAAAAACAATGTTTATCCAGCTGAAAAATATGTATTTATTTAAAAAAAATGATTTCAACGCGGCAAAAAAAATCAAAAACAAAACAGAAAGGCATGACGAGTTCAGTAAGCACATAAAATTTCAACAAAATTGCAGCTAGTTTTTAGCGTGTGACCGCTGCATTTTTAACGCCCTGTACGTTCTTAACATGCACTTCAATACTTTCGATAATTGCAATGAGCAATTTGTTTCCTTTTGTGGTAATGACGACGTAACTACAATACCTCAACAAACCACTGAGTAGGTTAATACTTTGAGTTCAGACTTTTTATTAGCGTCCTATTTTTACGTAATCAATCATTCATTTTATGTCCCCACCATAAAATGACTGGGATATATAGTGTTACCCTGTTCCGTCATTCCGTCATCATCAGTTTCCGTTCAATAACTTAGTAAGGTTGCACATATTCAACTTTGATTGGACACATTGATATATCATGAGAAAGTACAGGTCAAAGTCGAATTTGGTCATGGTCCGATGATTTTTGACAGAGTTATGCCCCTTGAGATAAAATGTTCAGTTTCCTTTCATTATCTCCTCATCGATATTACACATTCAACTCAAATTTGACATATGGATACGTCACAGGAATGCGCTGGTCAAGTTCGGATTCTGTCATGGTTCAATGATTTTTGGCAGAGGTATGGCCTTTTCATTTTGAAAATAATATGAAATGTTCAGTTTCCGTTCAATATCTCACCAACGGTATTACACATTTAACTCAACTTTGACATATGGATACGTCAAAGAAATGAGCAGGTCAAGTTCGAATTTGGTCATGGTTGGATGGTATAAACGGAGTTGTGCCCCTTCCACTTTGAAAATAATATAAATTTCCAGTTTCCGTTCATTATCTCCCCAACGGTATTACGCATTCATCAAATTTGACAGATGGATACGTCAAAGGAATGCACATTCGAATTTGGTCATGATTTAATGATTTATGCCCCTTTAACTTTGAAAAAAGGAATTTTTCAGTTTCCATTTATTATCTCCCAAACAGTTGTGCATATTCAACTCACATCTAAGATATGGATATGCCATAAGAATACACTGGTCAAATTCGAAGTTGGTCATGGTTTGGTGATAGGTGACAGAGTTATCCTTCTTGAACTTTGAACAAATCAGAAAGTTTCTCCCAAACGGTTGTACACATTCAACTTAGATTTGACATATAGATACATCTTAGAAATTAGCATTTGGTCGTGGTTCAATTATTTTGGACACAGTTATCTCACTTGAATGTTGGAATTTCAGTTTCAGCACTCATGCGTTTGTGGAATTGTATGTAGTCATTCATTATTTTGGCTACAGATATGCAATATGCATTTTACAAAAGGTTAACACTGAATAGTTTCAGTGCCTTGAACTTTGTATAAAAATGATCATCTGAAATTTTGGCTGCATGCGGGGACATCCGTGGCGTGACGACACATTTCTAGTTTATGAAATATTTCCTTGACGTAAAGAATTTTCTACACGTTTTGCATAAATCACTTTCTATGCAAAATAGCTTGAATTAAGCTGTTGTGTTTTCCCCTTTATTTGAAGTCTACAATGTGTAACATGATCTTTGTTGTGGCCTTATTTAAATATATCAATTGTGACATTTAATGTATATAAAGTTTCTTGTTGTGTATTTTGGATGTGATTATTATTCAAAATATTTGTATTTTAATATTAGAAATGGCAGAACAAATTGTGAAGAAGTAAATAATTATATATAGAATAGATTATCATTTCGTTTAAACTAGTTCAGTTAAATGATTGATAAGTATCCTAAAAGTTTTTGCTCCCTAGAAAAGCAATTTTTTAAAACAAATTTAATATTGTATTAATGTTTTATGTAATGTACATTACCAGTACAACATGTGGTTATTGTTGTATAACATGTAATTTACATAAAGGAAACAAGTTGGTAAGTTGTTTTGGAGCTAAAATATGACTGAAAACACTTTAGAGCAAACGTTGAAATTTATGTGTAAAGCAACTGCAAATGTCAGATACTATCTGTATATGTTTTTTTCTTAACCAAACTCTTTCAATGTCATTATTGTATACCAAATCCCCAAATATGTCAAAGCATATAAAGGTGCATTCGAACCATAGTATTTTTTATTTAAGGGTTATAAATTTATCACAAATAATATGAGACATTTTCATTTTATTGTACTTCACATTAGAAATGTATGTTCTTTATTCTGAACATCTATATTTAATGACAAATATTTCGTTGTTAAAATATCAAATAAACATCATTGTGTAAAAGTGTTTTTGTTAAGAAAGTACCTTTTAATTTAAATAATAAATGTTTTACATGGATTAAAAGGTATATTCAGTTTTGTTGATTTAGTGTTGATCCTAAATACAATATTTTGTTTTCAAGATTACGTTTGTCATCTTATGGCCACACGAATACACCAACATATACATGAAGCAAACAAAAACGTCATATTCTGTTCCAGGTAGTATTTCACTATCCCATAAGTATACAACATGTAGAAAATAACACTACAGAATTGACCAGAATACGTGAATTGTCCAGATTACTCAAAGTCTATTAATGACCAGAATGTTGCGAATATTCTTAAGTCATATTAATTAAGCAGGGCATTTTAAAAAGAAAATCATGTAATGATTTGTTTGTTTGTTTGATTGGTTGGTTCTACAGCGCATAAACACCATTTGAGTTATATGGCGCCGAATTAGGAACAATTATTTTGGCTAACCTCGGGTATTACAAACTTTAAGCAATACCAGGGGTGAAAACCACCTCACCTGGTGGAGCTAATTGATTAATAGGCCCATTTGCAACTATCAAGTCGTTTCTTACGATCACGCAGGGATAAACGTTGACTGCAATTCTGGTAAGCAATCCCTCCGCCATAAGGGGTAATGTGTAATATTTATTAAGAATTGTTTTATGGTATCATGATTTTTTGTTGACATTGAGTGCACACCTCTGTGACATGACATGTTACCTCACCTCACCTATCCTCTTCATCCCAACTGGGACATATGACCATAACAAGTTCCCACCATTTCCCTCCGTCCTTTGCTATTTTATTTTGCTTGTCCTTCAGCTCTGATTGTATGGTTCTCCTCCAGTTGGTCCGAGGTCTGCCAGGTTTTATTTTCCAAGGTGGTGTTCAGCGTAACCCTACTTTAGGTATGCATTCTTGTGGCATCCTAAGCACATGGCCCAGCCATCTGAAACGCCTCCTCTTCAGTTCTGTTGCGATGGAATTGCATTTACATTTCATCAGCTGATCTTTATTTCGCATTTTTCGTGGGCAAAATATTTCCTGTATTCTCCCTCAGGCATTTATTTTGGAATGCCTCCTGCCTCTGCAAGTCACTCTGGATGACACGCCAGCATTCTGACCCATACATCAACATTAGCTTTACATTACTGTTGTGCAGGCGTATTTTGTGCTTTTGCTATACACTTGTGACTTTCATATCGGCTTTAACCTTGCAAAGCAGTATGGGATTTTGATAGTCTAGCTTGAATGTATTTCTTGGTGCCATTGTCTGTACTAATTACTCTGCCAAGGTAGATAAAGTCATCAACTGTCTCTATTGGCTTGTCATTAATAGTGATGGCCTCTGTGAGTTTGGTGTTAATGGACATCACCTTCATCTTAGTTTAGTCGTGTTTATTTTAAGACCAGTCTGTTCTGCATAATTATTGAGGGATGTTGTTTTATCCTGTAAATGCTTCGTAGATGTACAAATTTCCGCAAGGTCATCTGCAAAGTCCAGATCGCCCAATTGGCTGAACATTGACCATTGGATTCACATCATACGTGAGCTGATTAGTAAAACGGCTTCAGAAAAAACATAAATCCTGCTAAGAACGTGTTTTTGGATTTGACCTCGGTTTTCACATGTATAATAAAAAATTATTCCTGCTTTTATACGCAGACGACATTTTGATATTGGTTAAAATTGAGGATGACCTAAAGAAGATGTACACTGTGGAGAGTGCTCATTAACACAGACAAGTCAAAGCGTATGCCAATCAGGCCAGGTCACACCTCACAAATGAACTTAACTGCGTTAGATGTTGAAGACACTCAAGATTTTAGGCGTAACATTTCAATTTTAGGCAAATTTATAAGAATTGTTTACAGACTTAGAGCACGGGTTAAATAATATCAGAAGTATATTATTTTAAAGATACTGGGAAGAACTCGAGTCTGTATTACTCTTCTGGTATATGATGATCTCGAAAATATCAAGCTACCGACAGCACTCAGCACAAAACACTACGCTATTTTCTTAGCGTACACATATTTGCTCTATTACCCGCTATTAATGTAGCAATTATCGACGATAGCTCAATAGGACCCGTTATTGGAATATAAATAAGTTATTGGAATATATATAAGTTTTTTTAATATAAATAAGTTACAAACAAATGATTTGCAAAGTGTTTTAATATTAACTTTACAATTTGCCAAAATATCTGGTGCAGTAAATAAGATTTTTCTATTAAACAAGACTAAGAAAAGAGGATAACCGTAAATCTGAGTTCAGTAATTTAAAGGCCTATCTTCTTTAAAGGCATATCCTTACTACGGTTATTTTTAGATCGAAAATTTATTAAATATGTAAAAATTAGAACATTCACATTCAAGACTACATTTGAAACAGGTGATTACACAAAAGCAGATTGTAGAAAATATGAACGAACATCAGTTGCTTAATTCAGATGTGGGATCTTGACTTTTAAGATTAAGCTAGCGATATGTTAGAGAACGACCAGATAAAATAATTTGTAGGCTGTGTCGATTAAATGGAATTGAGGACAAGTGTCATTTTTCTGTTTAATGTTTCATTTATAAGCACGTAAGACAAACTATTTTTGTGATATATTGAAAACTTACAATATTTGCAAGTAAGTGAAAAGATGTTGTAACTTACGAAACTTTTTTCCTTGCAAAGTAGCAAATTTTATTCCTGAAAGTTACAAAAGGAGAAGAAATAACATGTAAAATACATGATTAACCAATTAGGTTGTGTGTATTACAAATTACGGTAATGAACTGTATCAGAAGTGGTCATTCAAATTAAGATACCCCTAGACAGTTATATTTATTGTTAAACATTTGCAAATGTCAGAAATCCATATGGATTTTTTTACAAAATGTACCATGCATCTTATTAACCTATTTAGGGTATTGCAGCAGAGGGATATTTATTATATTCAAAAAGGTCAATGGAGACAGGCTTCAACAGAAATACAACTATAGAAATAGGGTCACTGAATAGTTAAACAGAAATAACGTGTCTATCTTAAAAACCCTATCTTTATAAATGACGCACACACAAAGAAAGGTTAAAATTGTATCACTGTAAATCAGGGCAATTTAACACTAACTACGTTTCAAAGAAGAGTGTCAAACAAAACATATGTTTTAAATTGTATGAATTTCAAGTAACAGTTGTTTCATTTTTCCTGAAATATATATATATATTGAATATATCAAATAGATACATTGTTTTGTTGGTTTTTAAATCACACTGGCACAATTAGAGTCATATTGTTCACTGTAAAAAGTAGACTTCAGGTGTCAATCTGTACTTTATTTAAGGCACGGACGGGTATCGGAGTAGAACCACCGACGCTTTGTAAGCTTCCCTGCATAAAGTATTCAATTTAAATATAAGCAAACAAATAATGCAACAAAATAACATATTTGATATCATATCTGCACGTATTTCAATTTATACAGTAATGACTTTTTATTCCAATTAGCAGAAAAGTTATATTAAATCAAAAATACTTGATATCTAATTGACATATAATTAATAACAAATGGTTGCTTGCTTGACTGAATTTAAGTGACATTTAACTCATTTGTCATTGTCAAGTTGAGTTGGGTCACGTGTGTTATTTACCGTAGATGTATCGTGAATTATAAAATTAAATTT